TATGTGACCCCGGTTGGGTCGTCTAGCTAGTAGAAGTGGAGGATAGGGGCCAGAGGGGCAGACGACAGAGTCCAATGATGGGAGAAAAAAAATAAAAAACTGCATCAGCTCTATCTCATTGACGGGAATGACTTTTTTTTTTTTAAGAGAGGTAGCCTACGACATATCCTATCGTCCGATATCTACAAATATTATATAATCCTTTTCACGCCCGAGAATGAGCTGTTGGCGCGAGGGTTGGCTCAAGCGTTGGGGATGGGTTGACCATCGTTTGTTACGTCTATAAGAATGGACTTGGTGCAGAGTTCCTCTTCCTTCTCTCCTGCGTATAACCTGGGGGGGTTTCCAAATCCCCCTTGTATAGTCCCTTTCCCCTACCAGTGCCTGTGGTAAAAGGGGAAGAATCCTCAATGGTGATGGGCCTATGGCACTTGCGCAGTGTCTTGAGGACTACTAGAACCATCCTAAAATGGAGAAAGGTTGGGGCGCCGGTCTTGGTGCAGACGAGGGAGTGGGCTCGGCTCAAGCGGTCCTTGCATGGTAACAATGCACCTGTACACAAGGTTTGCCTGTGTCGCAGTCTGTGCGATCGTGACTCCCCAGTACACGACCGATTGACTCTCGATATAGATCAGGCAGCATTCTTTCAACTGCTGACAACCCTTGCGTCTGTTGGCAGCTGGGCAAGCCGGGGGAAGATATTGCTCAACTGTGTATCCTGTCGATGTTTGCACTGATTAGGAGAACACTACTAATAGCGCTTGCCCTGCCACAAAAGCCCACTCTCGAATGAGAACATTGCTCCTGATTTCTAGCCCTCCTTCACGCATGGGTAGTAGGTGGACCTGCACCCGAGCTGTCCCTTTGAAGAAATCTACCTCCTCGCTCTTCGTCGGGTCTACGCGTACTTCTTTGTCCGTTGGTATTCTCATGCTGTCGGACATCTTGCCAAGGACGATCTTACTCATTGCCCACATCATCATGTTGTAATACACGTACGTGTGTGTGCGACTGCAGTCCGCATGAATGATTGATCCTTGCCGACGGCAGTGACTCTCCCCGTTCATGCCGAGGGCTGCAGAAACAGTCTTCGGCCGAGAGCGCCCTGTCTTCAAGGGTTGTGGCAGGTGCCCTGGTGGAGCCTGGTGTTGTTTTCCGCCGCCGAAAAACAATTTAGTATTGTCTAGACTAGTCTATACCTTGAAAGAGGAAGAAGAAGAAAGAATCCGCTGGTTGGACGAGGCGGGTAGTTCCAATCCTGAGTTCAGGGAGGGCTCGGTCTTCCGTTCTTGGTAGCCGATACATCGAGGGGACCAATGATGCGGATAATACTGTAGGAGTATGTACACAACACCGGAGCGTCATAAACGGGGCAAAGAGGACATTACAGTATCAAACTATGTATTTCAGAGAAGAGTAAGTGAGACCACGACGTCCAAACTCTAGGCTATCCGAGGCTCTCCTTTCACTGACAGATGCGGTGCTTCCGCGCGTGCGCTCCGGAGCATTTTCAACCCAACGACGGATCGTCGCCTTTGAACATACAGCAGCTTCGCGTTATCGTCCCGGGATGCCATAGCCCCCCGACATGTACAATATCTATGCATACGGCGGCAGCACCCATACACTACATACATGGGACTACGACTCGATGACAACCTTTGTCAAAGAATTCAAAGGTGAACACAACCATTCCATCCTTCGTCAGAGCCATGCATGTCATAGAACACGAACGAGAAGAGCGGGGGGGACTAGACTAAATGGTTGTCCCGAAAAATATCGACCTGCTGCTGCTCCTGCTGCTGTTCTTCTTGTTTCTGTTCACAACAACCACTGTAGAGTGTGGCACTCAGAAATAGATTCGGCAGCTGCATACCTTACAGCTTGGATCTTTCTCGGCCGGTGCGGTATAGCACTGCTTTGCGAGTGCTGTTGCTGTGTTCAATGTATCATGCATGCATCTACAGCCTGCTGCACACAACAAAACAACAACACGTTTTGTTTTTTTTTCCCCGCGGCGTCGTATGTGCCGGGTTTTGAGATCACGGGCTCCCCATTTTTGTGGACTCTAGAGCTAATGTGAGAAACAACAACAACACAATACAACACACAACACACAACCGTCAACCGTGCTCCTGCAGCGGACCGAGATTGGTTTTAGGTAGGAACCCGTTTCCCTTCGAAATGTGCTGTACTGCAGGCGTCGGAGATCTCGTAGATTTAACTGTGTACTCTACTAGTTTGTGCCAACTTGTACAAGCCGACAAGCCCAGAGTCGCTGCAAACACTCGAACAAACTGCTGTGGGAAATACGGCAACAACGATGCCCTCAGGGGGACGCCATCCCTCTGCGGAGAACGAACCGTGCCCGTCCGCGCTGGATCTCCGACGCCCACGACCGCGGCAGCTTGGATGGTTGAAAACCGTCCTCCTGCTGCTGATTGCGCTGGCGGTTGCCCGGACGATGCTGCTGCGGCGGCAGGGCGCTGGAGCCAGCAGCGGAGGAATTGCTGGAAAGGGGGTGAGCAGCAGCAGCAGCAGCGGCGGCGGAAGCTTCGAGGCGCAGCGGCCGCGGGCGGCGGTGTGCTTCTTCGGGCTCACGAGGTCGCTGAGGTGGACCCTGCCGAGCGTGCAGAAGCGGCTGCTGGAGGTGTTGAGGCAGGGCATGGCGGTGGACGTCTTCGTACACACGTATTCCCTGGTCGAGGTACAGCAGTAATCATAGACTATTTCTATATGTGTGTGCGGCGTGCACATGGACGTCGACTTTTACTCACGACGACACGACGAGAGGTTGCACAGAGTTTCGTCGTATTCGAAGGCTTTTTGTCAGAGGTGTGCATATGCCCATCGCGCTCTCTCACAATGGCAGGGTGGTCGTACTTTTGACACGTTTTTTACTCACGAGTTCGCGGCGGTGTCGGATCGATTATTTCGCACACAACATCTGGGCAAACATGCTGTGCATATTTATCTGCAGCCAGCTTCCCATTGCTGCGGCGAAGCGGCTTGCTCGCATCTTGTATGAGGCGTGTGGAGCTTCGGATGTGTGTATTTGTGATTTGTCGGTGTAATGCATTCAACAGCAGTGCGTGTACACATGGCTGCGGCCTCACGAGCCGGCGGTGTAGGCTATTTCGTGAACCCCTCAGGGCTGATCTAAACGGGATCGTTCACCAGATTTTTCACCCAGATCAAAGCCTTAGATAAGGAAAGATCCACATTAATTATGGAGCAGAAATGTGAGTAGCCGTCTTGTAGCAGAACCAGACCTAGAGTTGGAGTTGAGTGTGCGGCACAACAACATCGATCAAGTGTCTGTTGTTCGAGATACGGCTACGGCCAGTGAGCCCATCGAGAGCTGCGCCGGCCGGAAACAACCTTTGGCATCAACTCGGTGGCAGGGGCGCGAAACCACAGAAAACGGGGGCATATGCTGCGGTTCACATTCTTGCGGCACGCTCTGTTGGCTTCTTGCTGGTCCTTACGTCCTTGCGGCACTGACTAGCTAGTGGCAGCTTGCTCCGGCTGCTCTTTGTCGCGCTGCTGCTGTTGGTCAGCTTACGACGAGGCCACAATATTTTTGTCATGGGTGGGTTGTGGAGATCGTTGTGTGCTGTGTGCGAGTGTTAAGGCTCTCCCTCTCGTGCTTCGTGGCAACGTGACGAGAGCGCGACAACGACAGTCATGCACAGCAGTGTTCTGTCATATTACCCTCGGTTTGACCGACTCTGGGATCTCCTCGTTAGAAAAAATATTTTTCTATATACTATGAATGGGAGTCCGTTTTCTGACCCAGAGTTCACCTTGCTGGCACTACAGCTAGAATTACAACAGAAGCGGTCTTGTGATCATTTTATCCATCTTCAGTGGTCTGAGCAGGTTGTCATAAGTATGCAATCATACTGGCAAAAGTATAGAACAGGTTGGGTTTTCCACTCTAGCTCTTGGTCTGGGTTGAAAGTGTCAGGGTTTGAGTCTGGGTGCACAACTGCTGGCCTCCAGATTCCGCCGCAAACCGCACTTCGATATTCCTGGGCCGCCCCGGCAAATTAGAGCACATGACTGACACGTGGTGTGTGTACCACCTTGCACCACCACAGCGCTGGTTTCTGGCGTGCCCCGGCTAGTTTGTTCATGGTGTAAGCATGGAAGCCGCAACGATTTTATCGTCCGCTTGGTTCTCCGTCGTCATTTTTATGTTCGGTAATAGTTGCCAGGGTTGTCCTACTCCCCTCGGCTCCACGCCTGTTTGTTTTCGCACCCAATTTATATTTTTCCCACCTTTTTTTTTTCCTCCGGAGGTTCCGTTTATGCTTTCGGCGGTAAAAGTACCGACGACAACCATAAATTTCCGTTTTTGCGTGGGCGGTGCAGGTAAATAACAACCGGGCCGGGGAGACGAAGGTCATGTACGGGCCTTACGTTAACGACTTCCTCGCCCTCAATCCCACAAGGTAAGGCACCCAGCCTGGCGAAGGGCACCAGTGTGTAGGATTGAACCACCGGTGTGATCTGTGGTACCGTAGGCGACATGATACAAGATACCACACACCCTTGCACTGGTTTTCAAAGCTCGACCGCTCCGCACCAGCACGTTTGTGTGTGTTTTATATGTGGCAGCGCCGAAAATGGCGGCGTTGGAACTATCTAGTCGAGATAGTTCCGAAAACGCATCAGTTTGAGCTGCCACCCTCTTCCTCGTGGTGTGTTCGAGCTTTGAAAATCGGTGTGGGATCTTACCTACGGTGGTACTCCTGTCCGCGGTCAGCCCCTTGGTGCGGTTGAGGCGGCTATGATTGCTTTGTTGTTTTTGGAGCCGGTGTAGCTTCCTTGTCCATGTTTGGGGCGTTTTTTGGGCTCGTGTGCGGCTGACCATCTATGCCTACAAAACAACAGCAGCAGCAACCGCAACAAAGCACAATAGGTGGTTTCCCTTTGCACGACGCCCTTGTTCGTGGTGCAATCTCTTGTTCGGATTATCATCCACAACAGCAACAACAACAACGAAAAGCAGAAAATGGGGGTCTTTGCACAACGTCCTTCCCCGTGGCGCAATCTGATTCTTGCATCCTCCGTTGACGCGTTACCAGGAGCTTGGTGACGAACCAGGACGACTTCGATTTGATCTGGACGGACCCTCTGTCGATGACTCATTACAACTGGAATTATCCGGAAGAGGACGCACCTGGAGTCATCAGGTCAGCAGCAGCAGCCGCAGCTGTTGCATCAACATTGTGGAGAATATGAGGTAGAAAATAATTACACGTCGCGATACTGGAATGCCCCGATACACATAGAAGACGCTCCTGGCGCCACCAGGTGACCAGCGACAGCTTTTGGCACCAACATTTCGGAAAACATGGAGAAAATCACGTGATGACTACACATTCGAGACGCTGGAATGCCCGAAAAATGAAGGAGACGCTCCTGGCGTCATCAAGTGAACTAGATAGCATTAGCTTTTTCACCAGCGTTTCGGAAAAAACAGTCACGAAAACACCACCCGTTCGAGATACCGTAGTACTGCCCCCAATGGCAGCGGTGTGTTGCAGTATTTTTCGGTGAGGACTGAGAAGATTCTGCACGCTTCGCACAGATAGCGCATTAGCGTACCGACTACTCCGGAGTATGCTCTACAGCTCACTCTGGAGCAAACTCATTCCGACTAATGTGCGAGCCTCGAGAAGGCCCGACCTGTGGATGAACAAATCAGATTTCAGATCCCCCGCATGTTCCACATTCGACCGAGGTCAGTCAAAGTCTTGAGTGAAACGACGGGTGTTTACCGCTCACCGGTACGTTACCGTTGCTGTTCCTTTCCTATCACGGTTGGCGCCGTCGATGCCGTTCTCATCGCCGTTCGTTGCCGTGTTCCATCCCGTACAGACTGTTTGGGGCTTTTGTAATTACCGTTGCTCTGACGGTTGCGCCTACCGTCACCGTTGCCGTTACGGTGATCATCGCCGTTGCCGTCTTCCATCCAACTGGAACGTTTTCAGGGCTTTTCCATTTACCGTTGTTCTCGCCGTTGCGGTTGCCGTTGCGATATCCGTTCACCGTTGTCGTTGCCGTCTCCCATCCCGCAGGAACGTGTTCAGGGCGTACTGGTCCATGTCCATGTCGTGGGGCCTAATGGCCGAGCACGCGGTAGCAGGGGGGTTCGAGTACGACGCCGTGGTTCTCGCTCGACCGGACGTCTGGTTCCACTACGACGTCGACCTACCCACGTGAGTTAACCTCTTGTTCGTCGTCGTTCATTGCCCTGTTTCGTAAACGTGCCCTCTATCGTCGAAGGTTTCCTTGACCGGACGCTTGGTTCCACTACGACGCAGGCCTCCCCGCCTGAGTAGCTTCGTGTTGTCGTGCTCGCTTCCTGCCCACAAACATGTGAGACATGCTTGGCCGGAAGTCTGGTTCCACTGCGACGTAGACCTCCACACGTGAGTAGCCATGCCTTCTACGTCGTTGTATTACTTTCGGTTGTTTGGGGTACCCGTGGCGGGATGCTGACCAATCCACTACGAATATGTATCCTTGGGGAGGTGGCGATTTCTATACAAGTGGGGTGGCTGGTATGAGGAGGGTTGTATGTTTTGACATCCAAATTGCCAAGACCACCGTCCCAAGAAGTGATCGTATCATGCAAAACAAGAAGCATAAGTGTGCCCTAGACTACCTCGTGAAGGATCACTGGCCACGTTTTTTTATCTTGCATAACCCAGAGCCCCAAAGAAGTGACTACAGTGCGCAGAAGCATACAGCATACACCGTTGGACTCAAACCTGCCGCGAAACATGTCACCCACGATGATGTTTTTGTCTCCCTGAACCCCCAGCCCAAAAAGTGAGCATTGTGCGCTGAAACAGACATCTACTGTTCCCATTTTCATCACTTGCCAAGCTACCTGCCAAGCTACCTGCCAAGCTGCTTGCTTGCATTGATAGGCTGTTTGTGGACACATAAATGTGTTGACCAACCGACACCGTTATAGTGTTTTGCTGCTACATGCAGAAGTATTTTTCTTGGTATCAACACTTGAAGTTGCAATGCCTAGGCAGGAGTGTTGCCTCCAATTCTCCCCCTTACCTTCACTTCATTTCGTTTTGCTTGTCGCCGCACCTTGCAATATCATTGTTCGTCGCGAACGGATTTTTGACAGCATGATATTTCCAGTGCAATGCATAATTTTCATTTTTTCTTGATGATCAACATGCCATCGTTGTGTGCCCAAAGTCGAACCGAACACGTGTGTTTTTGCGGCCGCTCGCGACGGCAGTCGAACGCTTCCTCTCCCGGAGCACACGGTCTTCCTGCCAAGTTTCGATGCGGAGTTGGCTGCCCAGGTCAGGAAAAATGACCGCTTTGCGTATGGGTCGATGACGACCATGAGGGTGAGTGAGAAAGTGTAGTCGATATCACTCGACACTCGTTTGTTGTGCATCTCTGGTAGAATTGTTTTTTCCTAGGTGGTTAGAGGAAGTATACATACAATCATAGAATGACTACCCATTCGAAAAAAATTACCGTCGACGAATGTGTTTGTATCGACGGTGATCAAGGGCACTATAGGATCGATCGGTGCTCACGTAACTCCATCTGCACGAAGGGCCGGACCAGTTTGTCCGGGTTGTGTATGAGGCATGCAGTGACTACTATTTCCTTTGGCGATGGGATGATACACGACAACGGATTTGGTTTATATCCTCGCGCCAAGTATGTCCTCTCTTTCTATGTTTTTTGTCGTGCTTTTGCCGTACACGCCTGTTGAAGGGCCGGCAGCGTCGAACTCCCCCCTATTTTTTCTTTCGTGTGCACAACGCGCCACCGCTTTAGAGCCTCTTATTGGCCCGAATATTTTTGCTCTATGGGGTATTGCCCCACAGCGATCATGTGGATAGCAGTGTAGGATTCTTTACTGAGCACCTGTCCTTTGTGGCCAAGTTCGTCGATTTTTGGATTTGTTGAGGCTCAACTTCTTAACTGCCACCACGTTCTCAACGGCGTGGCGGGTTCTGTATTTTCAACCTGCGGCTGCTTCACGTTCAGGCTCGAAACTACCGGAGTCCCCTCTGAACCGTCCCCCCCTCCCCTCCCAATGTATACGTGCTATATCGTTGCCCTGGTTCTGCCCAGGCCACTTTCCCATACCTCGCTACCCCAAACTCAGCTCGAGCGTTCTTGTATGTTGCGTTCTGTTCGTCTTTTTTTTTTCTATTGCAAAGCATGTCCGTTCTCCTATTTTTTTCTCGTCAACTCCGCATTTCTCTTGGCCTCGCTGCGAAACAAAATAGTGAAGCTGCTTCATGAGAGCGACACAGGTTTTGGCCGAAGACTAAGCCACTTGGTGACGCAATGTAGAAAACGTTCCCCTCCGCCCCCCGCTCCTTGCCTGGTTCGGTGAAAACTCGGCACGCCGCTCCGTGTCGGCTTTCATCCCTCGCCCTCCCCTTGATCGCTCCGCCCGCGCTTTGTAGGGATGCGAGGTTAATGGTTTCACGACTGCAGCACCATTATTGGCCATGAGTATCCCCCCCCACCCCCGCCCGCCCCTTAATCACCGCTGCCCGTCCCAAAACAGGTGGTAATGAACCGCCTCGCCACTCTCCTCGCCGCGGACACCGGTCAGCTCACCGGGGAAATCGATTCGGAGTACGTGCTGGGTCACCACCTGCGCAAGAACGACATTTCGGTGAGCGCTCTCTCTCGAAAAGCGAAGTGGAAAAAAAAAACGAGATCGAGTGCGGAAGGTTCAGAAAGCGTTCGTTTTTTTCGTCATGCGTAGACCGAACAAACACATGCCTGTCGCGAACGGGAACAATTTTATGAAAATATTCCTGTGCCGCCTCCGAGGCTATTGAATACAGCAACGTGTTTGTTGCCCAGTAGTCAGCTGACAACGTAGCATCGCGGATGGCAATATGATAAGGATGCGATCGGCATCTATTTGTCCATAGACAACTGCTTCTTCCCTAATACATATATATATACAACCACCACGACGCACCCACCACCATTGTTCAATGTTACTAGCATTGCCGACGTTTACTTGAGCTGTAGCTGCTATGGTTGTGGCTTTGGTTCAAGGCCTGCTCCTGGCTGTCCAGCGATTCCAACGCTGGTCATCGTTGGCTTTTCGATCCCGAGAGTGCTCCTGCACGTGCAATGGTAACTGTGTTTCGTTTCTGCACTTCCTTAGGGACCAATACTACAGTACGAACCACATCACAGCTGTACATGAAACCGCCCCCGGAAATGGTGTCTACCTTCCCTGTACGCCAATCGGCAGTTAGCGTTGCCTTGAGCAGGACCAGTTCTGCCTTCAGTGCTGGTGGTGCGAACGCGACGGTGCATGATGTGCTTGGTTGCTTGTCGCCTTTAGCAAGCGCGCGTGTCAAGCACGCGTGTTGTGCGAGATGATGGCGTAAAGACTCATGGTTTTTTCTGCTTCTCGGCCATACTATTGGTCGCGCGTGTCAGCATTGATTTATTTACATGTTTCATCAAGACCACCTCTTTGGTATACCTGCCACGGTCAGTAAAGCTCTAGCGGTACCAGCACAAAATGTATCGGATCTACTGCGGAATATTCGAATATTCGAATATTCGAATCGTTTGCGAGTTCAGATCACCTGCTGCAGCGAATACTCGAAACGTTCACGAGTACAGATGACCCACTGCAATCCATATATCCGTTAGGGGAGCATGGATGAATCACGAAGTGGAACATTCCGGCGTTAGTGAGGGCCTACTTCACTGTAGTGTGGTACGGCACTAGCTATGCGGCTTCAGGCAGTGCCTGCTCAGCACCCAGCCTAACCACGACCGCTTCCATCGGTGAATGGGTTGCGCCGCTCGCCCTCGAACAGGTGCAGATGCTAGACCTGCTACTGACGAGAATACGGCTGACTCGCGACATCCCCATGTACGACCATAGGCTGGTTGAGGAGGCGTGTTTGTCGGGGGAGGATCCGATGGCTTGCCGGATGGTTGACGCCGGCTTCAAGTTCCCTGTTGACGGTGGTGCTTAGCAGGTCGTCGATGCCTTCATTTGTCAACAGCACTTGGCAAGTGGAGCATGGTTTGCATTTAGGCGTGGGGGTGGATTTGAGACCGGCTTCGAGTTTCACGTGGCCGGTGCTGCCTGGCAAGCTGAGCGCTTTGATTGTAGAACGTCGAAAGCAGAGCAGGTTCCCGTTGCCAAGCCGCTCTATATCTGGTAAATATAATAGGGCTTGAGGTGAGGTCGGAGAGTTAACACCCCCGAGTTCTTATTTGTTTGTGTAGAACATGTCAAGCAGAACTTGGTTGTACCTTCGCTCATGTGGTGCTGAAACTTGTGCCGTCGAAAAATGTATCCCGGGTTTCGTCGGTGCCTTTCGACACCAGTCTGACTTCGAATTTTGGTGATATTTTTTTATTAGGGTTATGAGGTTAGAGGACCGCCAGGTAATCTACCGAAAAGGCCTCTTTCATCGCTTGTTTTTGTACGTAAACGATAGGGGTTGCCTCCGGTTTCTTGTCAGCGACATCCTCTCCCGTCTATAAAATGCCCTTAATGCTGGGCCATAACCCTAGACACAAGTAGGCAGGCGTATTACTGCCCCGTGCATGGAGGACACGTCGCGTACTTGTCATTAGGTGTGGTTCGATCAGCAATAGATTGCCGTGTGCCCAAGGCTGCTTTCTCAGTTGCGATTTCTACTTGTAATTTGTTTCGCCTCTTCTGTGCTTTATAGAGATGTTTTTGTTGGTACTTCGTTCCAAGTATGTTTCTATTCATTTACGTCTGCCGTATTGTTTTAGTGTTGTTTTTGTGTCTTGGTACGCCGAAGATGGATGCCGTAACGAAAACAGATCATTGAAAAGAGCTAATTTTCTATCACATCACGTCACATCACGATCAGAGATTTGATGAGCGCTTGATTGTTACTGCGGGCTTGGCCCCCCAGGTTACAAGTTGGGGAATAGGGAGCTGCTGGCTGCACGTTCAAAACCACAACTTGTGTTTCAAGTAACATGCCTGTGCAGAGGACGCCCAACTCCACCTTGAAATCAAGCGAACATGACACACAAACGTGTCGCAACAGAAACTACAAGACCCAAACGGGCCTCACCACTGGCAGCATACCAATCGCTATTCTACTGCACACCCTCCGACCAGCCAGCTCGTTCGTGTGGTGCGGTCTTTCCGTGTACAGAAAGCGCCCCCCACTTTTACGAATAGCGTTAGCACAATGAACTTGAGCACAATTTGCGACCTCGGTTGACAAAGAACCCCTGCACAACCTGTACTATGTAAAACGTATATTGCGGCCATTGGGAGCCAACAGAGGACCTAAGAACCCCAGCCTCGGTCAAAACGAGTGGTTCTGAAGTGCGGGTGCTATCTGCACTTCGCCAAGAATATGCCTGAGCTCATTTTCGGTAGCATCTGCTCTAAATCTCCAAAGCAACCGTATTCGTCCCACTGAGGCGCACGCCGTGTGACAGGAAAAGGCACGAGACGTTTCGATGAATCGACACTACATATAAACGTGTGTACGGGCCTACGGCCACCCGATTCCCAACTTCTAACGCTGTCGTAATCCAAAACTATGCCAGGTAAAGAGTGCTCATATCTTTCGTTGCCAGTAAAGGGCCATGGAGCAAAACGTTAACACCTTGTATGCCCGCACAGATGACACACAAATACATATTTGTTCCTTTTCCTTCCGGGTGTGTTTCGCTAAGTCTGTACAATCTACAACAGTAAAAAACGGACGGCAACGCTTGAGGTGGAGCTACAGCGCAAAAGAAACGATCAAACGAACCTGGAATTAACAACCACTGAATTACAGGATGCACTTTGCACTCTTCTGCTGTGCCCTGGTGACACTGGCTGGTGGCACCACTCACGCACATCCATTCGCGCTATGATTTCGCACTCAAGTACACCACATGCGCGCGAGCACGCGACGCGCGATAGAACTCCATCCACGCTGTCCCATTCTCTGAATACAGGGCGGGACAACACTTTAAAGAATTCAATTCTCCCAAACAATATCAATATTAAGAACATGAGCATCATTTGCTAGCTCGGTTAAGAATCTCTGCACTAAAACCTATACAGCGACAATTCGTACCCATGTCCCTAAGAACTGACATCCCCAGCTTCGGCCGAAACTAGAGGTTCTCAAGTGGTGGCGCTTTCTGTCGTGTGGAGTGCCCGTCATGGTGCCGGTGGGGGGGGCACATACCGGTTAGTAAACTTGATGGACTTCATAAGTCGCGAGGGAAGGGATTGCTGTACCCTTCTCGCGACAAAAATATCTCAGACAGGAACCGCAGGAGGTGGTCCAACCCCCCCTCCTGTATGACCCCGGTTGGGGTCGTCTAACTATTAGAAGTGGAGGATAGGGGCCAGGGGGGCCGACGACAGAATCCAATGATGGGAGGAAAAAAAAAAATACCGGTACTGCTGCGGCACCACGACCGTAGTGCATCCTCGCTCGCTCGTCGTTGTTGGTCGCTCTTATCTCCATGCGACCGCCCAGGTGTTGAACTTCAACCATTTCTGCGAATTCGGCCCAAGATTATGAGGATTGTGAAAGCAACATGGCGGGCAGGGAAACAAGGGGCTGGGAAGGAAGGCGCGAGTTACTCGATGTAAAATATGGTTCTAGTATTCCTCAAGAGATGCGGTTGTCTGATACCCGTAGACGTGAATGGGCCAAAACATTTCCGGCGGCAGGCCGGGGGGTCGTCATTCTCATAGTCCTAAGGGGTATCGTGCGCTAGAGGCGGCCAGAATGTATTGGATCGGCGGGGGGAGCGGAGAATGCTCGGTTGCGAAGGATGGAAAAGGGCTACGGCGTTATAAGTGTAGCATGTGAATAAGTCAACCGTGACGACGATGTCAACAACTCCAACGACAGCCACAATGACAACAACAACGACGACCACGACAGCCACAACAACAACAACAACAACAACAACAACAGCAACGAGAACTACTTCTTCCAACGAAATATCACAGTCAGCGCCCGCGTTCAAGAAGTAGAAAGTATCGATTTGGGGTTGAGGTTCAATTTCTTTTTTCGCCACCACCATCGTCGAGCACAGGCCATCAGGTGGAGTTTAGTGCAGACAAGTGGAGTTCAGTGCAGGATCAACGGCCGGGATGTGTTTCTCGGTCGATGTTCTTGTTTATCGCCACACTATGGGTCTTCGCTTAATCGCGAGCGCCAACGTGCAACCAGACGCACCTCCACCCCATCAGGTTCCTCTGGCTTGTAGGCGGGGAAGACCTCGTCCCTCGTAGCAGCCGATAATCTCTCCACCATCTCGGCAAACGTTTCGGGCATCTCGTCGTTCAGGTACTCCTGGTATGACCATGAAGAAAACAATTCACGGATGTGCTCCTGGCATGATGATTAAGAAAAATACCATAGTTGTCTTGTGGTGAGGAGGATACACGTCATGTTTGCTCGTTCATGTTGAGAGGTCGCATAAGAAACGAACCGTGCAAAATGGTGATACATATGCGGCCCTCTGATTTGTGGGTCAAGTCCACCTGTCCTACGCGATAAGACTGGCGCACGTGTGCCATAAGAGGCGGGCAGCATAATGGATTTAGCAACCATTAACGCCCTAACCATATCACTTCGGCATGTTTCCTACCACCGTGGGTTGTTTGGCATCTCCAGGTATCAGCGGGCGTAGGGGTGGGGTCTCGTCGTTCTTGCGCTCTGTGTGGAAGCATGAAAGGTAAACTACGCGGGGTGCAGCAAGCCCGTGTTGGGCGTCTGTTGGGGCAGTGGGTAGTCGGCCGTGTTAGGCCGAGAGAGAGAGGTAGAGATTGAGATTGCGTTGGCGTTGGAGAAAGCGTTGGAGAAGGAAACTTGATTGGAGAGAGACGGCGGTAGCGGTGGAGAGAGCGAAAGCAGTGCGCTAGATGCGCGAGCCTTCAACACCGCAACCAAGGCCAAAAGGGTCCCCGTATCTGCATCGGTGGTACCCATCAACATACGAAATTCTCAACACGTATCCCCGAGGATCCTCACGTCTAGAGACTGCTGCGAGTATATCTTACATCCCCCCTGCTCGCAACAGTATCTTCACTGCAAACTACGAAACAATATCGGATATCTCAACCAAAAGACGTCTTTTCCTGAATATATGCGATCAAGATTACTTCCAAAATATATGACACGAAAACCAAGTCCAAGAAACATGAATACTGCTGCATCGCGCGTGAAAATAACTTAGCGCGGAAAGCAAAACAAT